TTTAAAAAAATATGAGTATTTTTTTTATTTAAAAATTTTTTTTAGAAATTTAAAAAAAAATATTTCTTTCCATACAAATAGTTATATGAACATGTATATATTTTTTTGTTTTGAAGTTACAAACAGTGCATTTTTTCTATTATTTTGTATAAATATTCAATTAATTTGGAATTATTACCTCAGAACAAAGGGGGTTGGGCAGAGAGAAGAAGTGGATTTTCTAATTTGATAATAGAATTAAGACATATGCACATGACCAATAACAAGATATACTTAAGATTAATACATAATTTATGGTCTGTTACATTCCTGTGGACAAAGCAAATAGCCTGTTACATTACCGTGGACAAATCATTATATTCTGCAACATTCCTGTGGACAAATCATATATAGTCTGTTACATTCCTGTGGACAAAACCTATATTCTGTAACATTCCTGTGGACAAATCAAATAGTCTGTTACATTCCTGTGGACAAAGCAAATAATCTGTTACATTCCTGTGGACAAAGCAAATTGGTCTGTTACATTCTGTGGACAAAGCAAATAGTGTTACATTCCTGTAGACAAAGCAAATAGTCTGTTACATTCCTGTGGACAAAGCAATAATTTGTTACATTCCTGTGGACAAGCAAATATTTCGTTACATTCCTGTAGACAAAGCAAATAGTCTGTTACATTCCTGTGGACAAAGCAAATAGTCTGTGACATTCATGTGGACAAAGCAAAATTGTCTGTTACATTCCTGTAGACAAAGCAAATATTCTGTTACAATTCTGTAGACAAGCAAATAGTCTGTTACATTCCTGTAGACAAAGCAAAAAGTCTGTTACATTTCATGTGGACAAAGCATTATAGTCTGTTGCAATTCCCATGGACAAAGCCTATATTCTGTAACATTCCTGTTTGACAAATCATATATAGTCCTGTAACAAATTCCTGTGGACAAAGCATATCTTTATAGGCTGTTACTTTCCTTGTACAAGTAATAGTTACTTTAAATGACTTAGAAAGCCTTTATATAAAGGGACTAAAATGTTTTTATCAAGAATTTTAGTACCCAAATTTTGATTGAAAGGTCTGGACCAATAGCTTGGAATGAAACTTTCAAATATCCCATCCCTCTGTTTCCCCAATTTATCATTTCCTATTGTGAAAAATATGCAAAACATTGCAACATTTTACACTAATAGCGATATGAGTGGCACAAATAATCAATTTTCTATTCTCCATTATATTTCTTTTATTATATTTCTGGTAATATTTAATATTGGGTTAAATTCCTTGGATGTTCTAATTACAGATATTGGGTTAAAAATGTCCTTATTATTTGCTGAAACTCTAGACTTAACACGACAGAAAGGAATAATAAGAGGACAATAATTACTTAATAATTGCTTATAAATTTAAGAATGATTTCCCAAATTTTTTGAAAAAATTTGGGGATAATAAAAATTTTAAATTTTACCCAATCTGATCAAAACAAATTCTAAAATTTTTCCAGATGTTTTGAATTTTTGCCTTTTAAAAGTTTTAAAGGGGAAGAAATTTAAACAAAAATTTACCCACCTTATAAACACGGATCTCTTATAAGACAGGGGTTCTTAATTTTTTGCCTTAAACTCCGCAGATTTTTTTTTTACCATTAAGACTTGTGAAATATTTGGAGAACACATGTGGTGCTATGGATGACATGTGAATATATGTTTATTTTTTCTGTACTTAAATTTTGAAATCAAAAATAGAGACTGTGATATTATAAGTGTTTTTACTATTTTTATAAGTGCACACGAGTGTGTTCATTTTATGTAAGTAGATGATGATCAAATTGTAGTCTGTTTTCTATTTCTTGATGTAGACATACACATATAGATACTTCAAAAATAATAAAAAAACAAAATCTTTTCATCTGGTATTATGAAATTTTGGGTGGTGAAAAAAAAAAACAAAAACTTTAAAAACCAAGGAAAATGCTTTTGGGGAAATCAAATTTTTTGAAACCAAAGCCCAAGTTTGTTTAAAAATTTTTTTTATTTGGGCCAAAAAAAAAATTTTAATCTAAAAAAAAGTATATTTTTGTGATTTTTTTTTTTATTGAATGAATGAATGTTTATGCATTTTTTAAAAATTTAATTTTTTTACATGTTTGTTAAATTTTTCTTTATAATAATTTAGGAAAAAAATAAAATTTTTTTAGGCCCTTTTAAAAAATCAAAATTTTAAAAACATTTCTTTTTTTAAAAACAAAAATGGGGTTATTTTAAACATTTATTTAGTATAAATTATTTTAAAATCATTTTTTTCTCCATTTTGTCAGGTTATTTGTATTTTGTATACATATACAGTAATGTATTCAGTTTTAACTTCAAATAAATTACTTGACTCTTTGATAAAGTCTATTTATCTATTTATTTGTGAAATCAGAGTCTTTAACCTGCAAAATTTCTTAAAGGACTTGTCCAGCCTTCCAACCTTTTAGCTTCACAGAGCACAAAGTGATCAAGATGAGCTATTGTGATACCCCTGATTATTGTGTCCGTCTTGAACAATATCTTAATGATCTCTTCCATAAAATTGCTCGGTCAGTAGTGATGTAACCCTCTATTGTTCTGGTCTGCTAAACAATATAGCCGCCATAGCTTAAAATAGAACCTTTAAACGACATCCCCACAGCAACTTGGAAGATTTTGGTGAAACTGTGCAGCAATTGTCGTTAGGAAATCCTTAACAAAAATTGCTTAAATGGTTCTGGTCTGTTCAAGTAGAAATTAGCTTTCAACAACATCTCCTCCTCCTTAGACCTGTGTGTACGCAATAGTGATGTTACAATACAAGAATGATCTTACTAAAACTGCTTGTTTCGGGTCTGCTTAACAATCGGAGCTAAAACTAAAACTTGTCTGATTAATAACTTGAGAATATTTGGTTGAAATACATAAGATAAAGCATGGAGTTTAAACACGAGGAGCAGATTATCCTTGCTGATTTTGATATAGGTCAAATGTCAGGGTCACTGGCTTTGACCCCTACAACTTGCCTGCCGATTGATTTTTAAACCCTTAATTCTTTGATTTTCTATCGTCCTAAGATTTGGTGTCTAGATTCTTTATGGGAAGTATATGACCCCTATTGTTAGTCAAAGGTCAAGGTCACTTTAAAAGTGACCAATATTATAAACGCTAATGTCTCACCCGAGTTCATCAGAGTTCATCAACGTTACATAGACTTTCAAAGAGAAAACTTTAAAAAATCTATCTATTCTTTGCTGTTATATTTGTGATATATGAATTTTATTTACAGGATAGTAGGTTAGTAACTTGTAAGTATACAAGGCGTCCTTATATGTGACATTACCTAACAGCATTTTACACGACATTTTGTACTTTATAAATTCAAACAGAAAGGGGCAGAGGTCATGTAGTGTCCGAATGCCCACACGTCGTCTTTAATATAATTTTTTTCAGTTGAAGGACGCTATCAAGCTAGCTCTCAGACTGTTTGTTGTTCTACGCGAGTGTCCGTCCATTCGTATCTAAAGTAATGCACACAGAGAAAACTACGGGGGAACTTGCATTTTTTGGGGGGAAAATCGCTGAAAAAAATCTAAACGCTGCCATATAAAACAATGTGTACGGTTTAAGGGTAACTAACTTTCACATTTTTTTCTATAATTGCTACACTGACCATCTTTAATAATGATATACATGCTCATTCTTTCAGAGATCATAATTTCATCAACGAAAGATGATATACAGCCAAGTTAACGATGGCAACAGAGTATGATTTGTGGAAAATATCACGCCTAATGAAATATCGTATTTTTATTATAATGGAGAAGGGATTGAAACTGTTGACCACAGATCTTGTGGCGTTGCCTAGCAACATATTAATGACACCTGAATTTTCCGATTGTTCGCTGAAAAAGTATACGTGGACCAAATATAAACCTTAAAACTGAACTGAATTTGAACTTCTAATTTTGTTTCCGAAAATTTGACGTTTGCGGTTGTCTGTGGCAACTTCTCTGGAAGATTTGCTGTTGAAGCGTGAACTCTAATAATGTATCTAAATAAATACATTGTATTTTTGTTTATGTAAACCTTGTTTTGTATGTCTGTGAACACATGTGATAAATTCTCAGTTATTTTACAGCCGGAATGTAAATTCTAATTCTGAGTGAAAGCACCGATCCCTTTTCTTAAAGATGACATTAATTATATATAACGCAAAAATCTACAATTTCGCATGACCTTCTGTATACGATTTCACAAAACTTTTTTTTTTCATTTGAAAAAATACGATTCCTCGTCATTATTTTGATTAGGCGAATAAATAAGTTCAATCTAGGTACAGTGTTTCCATTATAAGACCAAGAGTTAACAATAAAATTCTATTTGTTTCCAGCACCTATGGTCGATTCTCACATAGAATGTATCATTTATTTAACACATGTATATATATATATATATCGTACGTAAGCAGAAATATTCTGTAGAAATTTAGCAATGATTTCATCTATGCACAAGCCAATTATGCCCCTGAAATGCTTTAAATTTTGTTTCTCAAAAGCTTTTTATTTCTCGTGTCCTGTTACAGTTTCCATAATGCTACTTATTAACCAATTATCTGAAATATCTTTTGCTCCTGTTGCCTTTGGCAACTAGTACTTTGTATAGTTATAGTGATTAATATACGGAAGTCAAAATACTACTTACAAATAATTTTACATTCAGCGCTGCTATCTTTTTATATATATATTATATGTGATAAGTATCAAACATTCTTCAAAACCATTATCTCAATATTTTAAAACTCATGTTTGACCTTTCTAAAGATGGACACAATTATTCATTTCCGAGTAAGGCAATATTCTACCATAACTCTTTCATACAAGCATTTTGGAAGTATTCTTTAAAAAAATAAATAAATAAAACAATAATTTTGCAGCAAATATATACTGTACGTTATAAAGTTATATCAGAAGTGTTTTAACAAAAGCAACTTAAGTTGTCGATACTTTTAATTGGTTATCTTAACAACAGTAAATATGTTTCTTTTAAACAAAAGAGCAAACAAATAATAAAAAACAACCTCTTTACTGCCTAATAGGCGGATTAGGCGGGTAGATCTACCCTTGAAACGAATTTTCCAATCTGTCCGAAGTTCAACACATAACAGATATTATCAAACCTTTTTACACAATTCTATTCTAAAATAGAATTATCAATAAATTACCACAAAAATAGATTATAATATAAAAAATATTTAGAATTATTCTTTGTTTAAGAATCATTTCAAATTTTCACTTCGTTCCATTGGGCAATACTATCCCAGCTTCATTTTTTCTCCAATTGCCCAATATCTTCAATACCTTCTTCAAGAGCCTCAAGTGTACCCGCCGTCTCATGAACCTCTTCAAATTCTTGTAACTCAAGACACGGGTGGTTGCCTGGAAGGCAGCAACAACAAAGGGAACCAGCTGATATGCACCGTGAATAAATCGCTTCCGGACAGCCGTTCAGCTTGCACATACACCGTCGGCAAAGTCCGTCGCCTGTATGCGTATTTCCGTTCATGTCGTCATCATGGCTGTCAAGAGTGACGTCATTAGCATTTCCCCCACGTATGTTTAGTGGTTGGCCGTTGTCAATGACAACACGAGCATCAGAACTGATGGCAATTATTGTGAAGGCAATAATTGTCACAAACATCGTCCCTTAAAAATAAATAAACTAATGGTATTCGACAGACAATACGTATGGTTTAAGTGAGCCGATGGTTTGGTAAAAACTATGAGCACATGGAAAATGGAATTTTTCTGATAACTTGTCAGGAGTTCCTCTGATAACAGTTACTTACGGAGTTCCTGGAAATCGTTATAGATTTCGTCGGAAGGAAGACTTTTGTAAATACCAAAGAAAGACTCTTCAAAAATGAAAAATTTCATCTGAGGTGCTAAAGTAAATTTTGATGATTAAGCTTGCCTTACATATTGTATTATGTGTAAGAAAAAATTATTTTGAGTAAAACTTCTGAATTATTTGCTCATTCGTACATATTGACCTGTACATTTGTGATCATCTTCCTTGCCTTATTAAGTTACTTAATTATAACGGAAAGTTGCAAAACCTAAAGCCCCGGGTAACAAATTTATGCCAGATTTTTTAAAATGTCCTAGATATGACAAGTTAAAAAGGTACTTCTGTATATTTTAAATTCTTTTCAGCATATGTCATGTTTGCCATATAAAACGTTTTTTGCATTTTTTGACTCTAAAGTCGCATCTGTAATGTTATATGGGTCGGAAATATGGGGCCTAAAAAGACCAAACTGTATAGAGACGCTGCAAGTATATGCATGTAAAAGATTTCTAAATGTAAATAAATCAGCTTGTAATGATGCCGTACTTGGTGATACAGGGATATTCCCTATGAGCGTGTATGCATCTAAACGATGCATTAAATTTTGGATAAGATTATTAAATCTACCTAGACATAGATATACTAGACTCTGCTATGAAATGCTTGTATATTTTGATAATTTAGGATACCACAATTGGGCTAGTGATGTAAGACAAAATTTATATGAAAATGGTTTTGGCTATGTGTGGGAAGCTCAAAATGTTGTAAACCCCAAAATGTTTTTAATTCAATGTGTTCAGAAATTAAAAGATCAGGCAATGCAATGTTGGTCTGCTAGATGTGCTGAAACAAGTAAATTGTGTCATTATACAAATTTTAAGCAGTGTTTTGGGGCTGAAAAATATATTAAAGTTATAGATTTTGATAAATTTAGAAAATGTCTAGCAAATTTCCGTTGTTCATCACATAACCTTATGATTGAAAAAGGAAGGCATTTTAACATTGACAAAGAATATCGTGTTTGCATTTATTGTGAAACTACTATTGAAAACGAATTTCATTTTATGATTGTATGTCCTTTACATGCTAATCTTCGTTCAAAATATTTGCCAGATTATTATTTTCGTTATCCAAATATACAAAAAATTTTATGATTTAATGTCAAGTGAAAATGTAGATATAATACGAAATGTATCAATGTACATTTATTATTCTTTTAAAGAGAGAGAAGAATTTATCAGTATGTCTGAATAGTGTTATATGTACACACATAATTAATAAGTTTTTTAAATATCATATTGTATAGTCTGATCATAACCACATGCAATGTATGCATTATATATGTGATGTTGTGTAAATTGTGTTTGGGCCGGAGGCCATATATACAAATAAACGAATTGAATTGAATTGACAAGTTATCAGAAGAACTCCATCCTCCGTGTAACAGTTCCTCTCCCCTAAATATACGAAATATGAAATTTATTTTATTTAAATTGGTAGATCTAGGCTAATAACCACGGTAAGGGTTACCAGGTTCGCATTTTTGAACTTTGAGTCATTTACAAATAATGCTGAACAATGAAATAAAATTAATACAGATCTATATGTTGGTTTGTATCTTAAAGGGACTTCACTGAGGTCTAAAAGCATGAAAATTGAATTTCTTACTAAGAACATCTGGGACACTTAAAAGCAGAAAAAAACTGATAATAAAGAAATATACTAAAACAAAAATTGAAAAAAGTATTTTGTGCTCCTTTAAACCCGTGGGTCATTTTATTATTCTGGAAAAACAGTGAGCGATGATCTGAAATTCCGATCACATGCTATTGGTAAAGTTCTACATCTAATGGTACATTAATTTCCAATTTTTTAGTCCCGCCATGTCTAAACCCTCAGTAGTCTCTTTAAAATCATTTAGTCAATAAAATTTCTGTATCATCAGTAAAATAACTAATATTAACTAACAAACGAAACGAATACTGATTTCATTTCAATATAGGAAAATCCTACCTGTTTTAAGTTTATAATTCCAAGACAAAAAAGCTTGTTTCTTTGGATGAAGTCAGTCAGTTTAAGAAAATAAAATGAATTTCTAAATCTGTTCCCGGTTAAAATTTAGGATAAAACGAGAAAATTGATTCAATTTATTAAACAATCAAGAGGGCCTTCTGGTGTACTAATGGTTAAAAACAAAACCATATGCAAACGAAAATGACCACATAGTTTCTTTTTTAATAAAAAACATATTAATTTCTTTTTAAAAATAGATAGAAAAGACAGAGGCAATATCGATAATTATATTATTCATCTGCAAAAACTGGTAGAGGGCATTGCATGAGGCGGAGTGCAGTATCAAAGAAAATAACTCTGCCTTGCGTAATTTTGGAGTGATTGCCCTTTATTCATTTCTACACTTTGAACTTGGTCCGGGACATAACTCTAATAATGTAACAGATATCAACATGAAACTTTGAGATAGATCTCATAGTAGAAGTACAGTGCAAAAGGAACCGTAACTCTTCCGTGCCTAAGTTTGGAGATATTGCCATTGTTTATTTTTACACTTTGGACATTGTCCGGGACATAACTCCAATTCTGTAAGCGATATCAACAGGAAAATATGTAGGTAGATAGCTCTCATTTAATAGAAGTGCAGTGCAATAGAACCGTAACTCTGCCCTCCTTAATTTTGGAACTATTGCCCTTTTCAATTTTACACTGTGAACTTTGTCCGGGACATAACTTCAAGAGGTATCACAAAGAAACTAAGTCGGTACTGTAGATAGAAATACAGTGCAAGTACTCTGCCTTGCCTAATTTTGGAATTGATGTACTTTGAACTTTGTCCGAAACATAACTCTGAAACGACAAGAGGTGTACTTTTCTGTGTCCGGGGAGCATCATCCGGTTCTTGTTTTATATAAAAATGATGACAATTTTGAATATGGTTAACTAAATAACTCATCAAATAAACAAATGAGTAAATAAATAAAAAATAAAATAAATCAATTATTATAAATCAATAACAGCAAATAAAATAAATAAATCTTTAATGTCATTATAGGTGAAATATTTATAGCAAGACCCATCCTTATACATGTGAATATCAGGTGAAATACATATCCTTATACATGTGTATAATATGTCATTATCTGTGAAATATATATGGCAAGGACCATCCTTCAAACAGGTTCCGTTTACAGGTTCACATTCCAGGAAGCAGGTTACTAAATTAACTCTGTATATATATGGTATTACGTCTACCATGTTATCGTTTTTCTGTGCTTTTCTCCTGGCATTTATCAATACTTTGTCTTCCAGGAGTAAGCCTCACTAGTTTGTTGTTTTTTGTTTCAACAACTTTAAAAGTTTTTTTTAAAAATTTATTGCAAACCTTCTCCAAATCAGACATTTTGAATATAAACAAGAGCGATCAGTGATCACATGTGTCGCCTCATATGATGGCCAATTTCATGTTGGGACAAGTTTTGTGACAGACGGACAGACAGTGCACAACTAGACTTGGTACTGATCATTCCTGTACAGTTTGGATAAAATTTCACCAGTAGTTTATGAGGAGTAGTCCGGACAAGCTTTTGTGTATCTGGCAACACACAGAAAAAAACACCTTTTTATCAAAGGGCCATAACTCGGCCAATAATCATTCAACCGGAAAACCCGTGCAATATGCGCAAGGACTTGAGCTACAGATCAATCCTGTAAAGTTTCATATTGAAATTGCATTAGTGGTATAAGAGAAGTAGTCCGTACAAACTTTAAAAATAAAAATTATTAAAGGGCCATAACTCTGACAAAAATCATTGAACCGGAAACTGCTGACAATATGCACAACTAGACTTGGTACTGATCATTCCTGTAAAGTTTGGATGAAATTGCACCAGTAGTTTATGAGGAGTAGTCCGGACAAGCTTTTGTGTATCTGGCAACACACAGAAAAAAACACCTTTTTATCAAAGGGCCATAACTTGGCCAAAAATCATTCAACCGGAAAACCCATGCAATATGCGCAAGGACTTGAGCTACTGATCAATCCTGTAAAGTTTCAATGAAATTGCATTAGTGGTATAAGAGAAGTAGTCCGGACAAACTTTAAAAATAAAAATTATTAAAGGGCCATAACTCTGACAAAGATCATTAAACCGGAAAATGCTGACAATATGCACAACTAGAGCTACTGATCAATCCTGTAAAGTTTCAATGAAATTGCATTAGTGGTATAAGAGAAGTAGTCCGGACAGACTTTAAAAATAAAAATTATTAAAGGGCCATAACTCTGTCAAAAATCATTGAACCGGAAAATGCTGACAATATGCACAACTAGACTTGGTACTGATCATTCCTGTAAAGTTTGGATGAAATTGCACCAGTAGTTTATGAGGAGTAGTCCGGACAAGTTTTGTGACGGACGGACTGACAGACAGACAGACGACGGAGAAGTGATCCCTATATGTCGCCACTACTCCATAGAGGCGACACAAAAAATCAAAAATTTAACAAGAGCCACAGCCAAGCGGGCGCCACCCTGGTTTTTTCCTATTTCTAAAGGGAAACACATTGGAGGAAGACCTTTTAAAACGCATGGTTTTGTTGTACAAAATTTAACCAAGAGGCCGTATTTGACCATGACATTTTCAAATCATTTTAAACATGCCTGTGTTTTTTCAAGTATTAACCAAACTGTCCATTAGTTAAATAAGAGAATGTAAATATAAGCAAAATTAATATTGTTTCGGCCAAGTTTCATGACTCTTAGGTAAACTAATTTTTGGGCTATGTGCGACACAAGTTCAAAATTGATTTTATATATGTCAAGGGCAAAAACTCAACAAATATTGAATAAATCCACAAGCAAACCCCCAGGGGCACAACTACATATGCTGACCAACATTCCTGCAAAGTTTCATGACTAGGTCAAATACTTTTTTTGCTATCTGCGGCAAAACTGAAAATTTTTATTATGTCAAGGGCAATAACTCTTGACAAAACTATACTAATCCAAACATAGAGCCCCAAATGCACAACTTCACATGCTGATCAACGTTTCTGTAAAGTGTGTTGACCCTAGCTCAAACACTTAGAGCTACATGTAAAACAACAAGAGAACACAGTAACATACCACACCACACAGACAGACATGGGCAAATCTAAACGGGGGCATAAAATGATTTTTTTCCCCCACAGAAAAACTCAGCTTTAGTTTTAAGAAATACATCATAAAAGATGAGAAATAAATTAATCTGATTTTTATTTTTATTTTAATACATATTTTTCATTTAATACATATAGTTCAAATAAAACATGGTTGGAATTAGGATTGTGTAACATGAGTTACAATTAATTATGTAACAACATTAAAAAAGTTTTTTAAGCTAAAACATTAATTTCATTTCTTAATTGAGATTAAATTTCGTCCTTAAAACCATAGTCCTCAAAAGAAAACCCCTAAAACGATTACATGAAATCTAAAATTCACAATTTCAGAACGTGCTGTATAGTTAAAGGTGACCATCAATTCAAATCCTAAAATACATTATTAAAAGTTTTGAAGCATAACAACTACATAATTCTTTGTCCTCCAAAACTTCAGAGTCACAACAGAAAGTTTCATATGTTAATTTGTCAGTCCAAGTCATTTGTTTTCTCATTAACCCTAAGTGATTCTACTGCCATTTTTAACAACATCTTTGTTGATGACTTAACAATCTCTTCTTCAATCATCTGAATACCTAATACCAATGATTCAATCATTAATACATTGTATATTGTTTGATTTTTGTTTCCAACATCTCAAGTGATGACATAATAATTGTGGATGTTATTTGTAGCAAATTTGTGATTACTTCTTGCCCTATAGATTATTAACTGTTCTTTGTTGCTAACTGATAATAGTCTCTTGAATGATGGATTATTAATTATACTTTGTTCCCATAATAAACTCTTGACCGATGGATTATTAACTATTCTTTGTTCTGATAATAAATTCTTGACCAATGGATTATTAACTATTGTTTGTTGCTAACCGATAATAAACTCATCATCATGACCAATGGCTTATCAACCATTCTTTGTTGCTTACCATAATAATCTCTTGACCGATGGATTACTGACTATTCTTTGTTGCTTAGCAATGGCTAATCAATGGCTAAACTAACTTTGGTGGTTAATTTTTTTATTGCTGGCTTAATAACCATTTTTGCGACGGACGCGCCCTCAGGCGCGTTCAGAGCTAAGTCATCTACACATGGGATTTCGTTGGCTACACTCGCGCAATGTGTCCTAAACCAATTAACAGCCCAAGAAATAGTACATGAATTTGATCCTTCAAAACTCCCATACTTTGTCTGGATATCTTAATGTCTTCCATATTTAGCCTTTTCAATTCCAAATTAAGTTATCCAAGTTAAAATATGAACGTATATTATTGATAAAAACGTTGTAGTCCCGTAGTATTATTGCGCAATATGCAAATTACTGCTGAAACGATTTACCGCTGTCGAAAAAGTAGGACAGCAAATTATACTACAATAAAGGTGTAACTTCTGAGTTCCAAGACAATATTAGTAGGAAATAAATATTTCTACATTATACAAAACATTATTATTAACCAATCAAAAGTTTTTCGTGACTCTAGGATAACTCGCGCATTAATAAAAGAAGAACTATTTTCGTGACTCATACCGAGGGTTTAGCTGAATATTCAGCAGTTATTAATATATTAGATACAGTACAATGGCTAGTATAAATATCTATTTTTGAGAATGCATGTAAGACACTTTACCGCCATGTAGTCTTTCATGGTAAGGAAGTTTTAATATCAGTTCTACTTCCGATTCTTGTGGTTTGTTTACATATTTTACTAGGTCATGATATGAGTTAACCTTCGCTATTCTAAAAATAGATTCTGCTTCACCTGTTCTGATTTTTGGACAGGCGATCAGGAAGTACACATTAAACATGTAATTAATAAACCAGCGGATTGTAATGCAATACTTTTAGAAATGCTATACAAATGTAAGAAGCAAACAAGTTGAAAATGGAATTTAGTGTGAAGTTGAAAAGGACAACTAAACACTGTAGTGCTTAAGTGACATTTAAATTAAAATAAAAACGATGTGCTCTGGTCTCTACATCTTTACCTTGTAAATAAAAAAAATCTAAGAAATACACTATTAATTGCTGCTGATTTTAACCAATTTTTTTTAATGAGACATATCCATGTATCCAAGAGAAATAAAAATACAAATGACTTAAATTTTATTGTCTGTATGCCCACTATGATATAACACGAAGCAATTCTAAATAGCATTCTCAAATGTATAATGTATTATGTTTGAAGTTTATTTGCCTGGATTTATTCTAGAAATATTTCGTTGATAGTTTTTTTTCTATTTACATATCATTTCTTAGAATAAATCGATAAGGACACTGATTTACAAGTTTGACCAGAGTTTTTAGGCATAAATTTCATTCTGTATTTAAGTGCTTGAAAGTAGAAAATCTGAATTATACCAATTTAAGACACAAAATATATTGCTCTACAAATCTCGAACTTGTATGGAACAAATTTTCTCTGTTATATATTTTGTGTTTTGTATTTGTTTTGTTTTTTTTTTCTAAAAGAAGCCTTAATGTCTCTCCGGTTGCATGTCCGTCGCATTCAGTGCTGCAGCACTTTGATTTTTTTTTTACAGCTAACAGGTGGCAACTACTTGGTTGATAGCTTTGTAACTGATTGTTACTTCTTTACCAGATGGCCAATAAACTATTTGTTGCTTACACACATGATACTATGGTTTTATATCTATTTATTTCTTTTCTGTTAATGCTAGCCTATTAATATCTGTTAATCAATGATTTAATAAATATTATGTGTAATAATTTAGTAACTTACCAATGCTGTGAATTGATCATGGTGATATAATTAAGACCGTTTACCTACTTTTAATACTTGACGGATAAATTAACTATACTACAAATTATACATAATGCAAGAACACATTCATAGATTGAAGGAAAGACATTCTTTGTGATTAACCAATGGTTACCTATTGACCTATGAATTAGATATATCTATTTCATCATATAAAGATGGTAACCCTTTTCACCAATGATTTTAGTAACTACAGATTCTTACAAAATTTCGAAAATTTTACAAGTGTCTTCTTATACACTATATTTTATAACCAAAGTATGCCTCTGATAGAAGCAAAACTGTCTATTCTTTTATCCACCTATAGCCAACCATTAAATCTAACTGTTCAGTCATAATTTGTTGGTATCAACCAAGAGTAACTTCTACTTTCAACTCTTGTTGTAAAGAATCTTCTTCTCTTCTGATAATCACTTGCTCCTGTTCTCTTTCCTTGTCTTGATCCTTTTTGCTTTTTTCTTTATCCTTTCTGCTGCTTGAATCTTTATCCTTTCTGCTACTTCTGTTATCTTTAGGCTCTTTTCTGTCACTTCTTTTATCTCTTTTGTCACCTTTGCTCTCTTTGGAAGGATCGCTTTTCTCCTCGGCTTCAACCTCATCAAACTTGTCGTGTTTCCACTCATCCATAACTGCTCCAAATGACTTTTTTACAAAACCTGCAGAATTTTTTTTGTATAACTTACATTTAATCAAGTAAATATTTAAACATTTCTCTCCCTCTCCATGTTTGATATATATATCATTTTTTTTTTTTTTGGTTGGTTTTTACGTCACGCCAACACAGTATAGAATATTGTGACTTTCCAGTTTTACTGGTGGAGGAAGTCCTAAGGTGCCCCTCTGAGCATTATTTCAGGCACATACAGGCACTTGAGTAGAACCACCAACATTACCTAAGCTTGCTGGATAATGCTTCCTCACATTAAAGAAATCAAAGTCCCTGTCGGAATTTGAGCCTAAAGCAATGAGGGGCAAGTTGTTTGAAGTCAATGACCGTATTCACTCGACCACTGGTGTTCCAACATATACCATGTGGATATGTTTTTTTACTCTTATATTTGTTCACATCATATAGCTTTGTCATCATTGTTAACTATATTAAGTTTTCAATTCAAGTAGTCATTCACTACCCTGAATTTGTATAATGAACTTGTCCTGCTCTTGAATCTGATACTGTCCACTGTCAGTTCAAGGGATAACAATATCACAATGATCAAATAAAGTCATTTCAGAAACTCAATTTTAGAAACTCAAAAGCCTAAGGGTTAATGAACTTCATAGTCAAAATTTTGGATGAATTATGATTCACAGGATGCTAATCTATCCATTATCAAAACAGACATGAACAATTATAACCTCATTTTACCTTGATCAAGCGGCCGACCACTGCCTCTACCTCGACCTCCCCTGAAACCTCTACCCCTGAACCCTCTAGCAGCAGGGTATCGCCCTGTCCTTCTAAACATCTGCTTCCTCTCCCAAAATGTCATATCATCTCTCGATCTACTGTCATGCTGTCAAATAAAACAAGAATATCTACATATATGCCAAAGTATTCTCCACTATATTATGCAGTCAAATAAAACAAGAATATGATGCCATGCATACATAATTCTAGTCCCATTGAGTCATGCTGACACAATTCTTGTCAAATGTTGTCATGCTGACACAATTATTGTCACATGATGCCATGCTGGCATAATTATTGTCACATGATGCCATGCTGGCATAATTCTTGTCACATGATGCCATGCTGGCATAGTATTTGACACTTGGAGTCATGCCGGCACAATTATTGTCACATGATGTCATACTGACACATTTATTGTCACATGATGCCATGCTGGCACAATTCTTGTCAAATGTTGTCATGCTGACACAATTATTGTCACATGATGCCATGCTGGCATAATTATTGTCACCTGATGCCATGCTGGCATAATTATTGTCACCTGATGCCATGCTGGGCATAATTATTGTCACATGATGCCATGCTGACACAATTATTGTCACATGATGCCATGCTGACACAATTATTGTCACATGATGCCATGCTGACACATTTATTGTCACATGATGCCATGCTGGCATAATTATTGTCACCTGATGCCATGCTGGCATAATTATTGTCACATGATGCCATGCTGGCATAATTATTGTCACCTGATGCCATGCTGGCATAATTATTGTCACATGATGCCATGCTGACACAATTATTGTCACATGATGCCATGCTAGCATAATTATTGTCACATGATGCCATGCTGACACAATTATTGTCACATGATGCCATGCTGGCATAATTATTGTCACCTGATGCCATGCTGACACAATTATTGTCACATGATGTCATAATTATGTCACATGATGTCATAATTCTTGTCCCATGTTGTCATAATGTCAAAATTCTTGTCACATGATGTCATACTGGCATTATAATTGTCACATGTTGTCATGCTCCATGAATAATTATGATTTTGCAGTTAAGTCACTCTTTAAACCCAATTGACTGAGATTAAAAGCAAATATAAAGCTTAAATAAAACACAAAGTATATACCTCAAAGTAACTCTGTCCTTTAGGTGTTACAGTGGGGTTAACTTTCCATTCTGGCTCTGGGGGTTTGAATTTCTCTGAAACAAAGTAACATATAAATTAGATATCTGCCAATATTAATGATGAAGGTGTTCCACTGAGGTCTATGGCCTTAAATATCATAAGGACTTACATACACATTTTATCCTTTAGTCTAATAAATTTGGTATATCTTTATAGGGCTTAACAAATTTTGTTTATCACTAGGTCTCACTATCATCATGTCTCAATCACAAATTTTGTTTATCATCATTTCTTACAAATTTTGTCTATCATCAGATCTTTTTTATCATTATGTCTTACTAAACTTTTATCTCTAGGTCTTACAAATTTATTAGGTCTTACTCACAGATTGTATTTATCAGTAGGTCGCACCTTATTATTGAAACAGTACATTGTGATTTTTTTTTTGTCAGATATCTTTTTGAGTCACACTATCAATGTAAATGTCATATGGTGACTTTTAAACTTTACTGGCGGAGGAAGACCCCAGGTGCAGGTGTCACTTTGTACATCATTTCAGGCACAAGCTGGTGACTCACAGAATAGAACCTTTAAACTTCCATATAAGGTAGCTGGATAGCTTTCTCTCATGAAAATCCCTGACCAGATTTGAACCAGTAGTGTTGAAATTGATAATGTTACAATTAACTCATCTCAGACCAAAATGATTTGAGCCGTGTCTTGACAAAACCAACATAATGTGTTTGCTACCAGCATGGATCCAGACCAGCCTGCCTGATCAGGATTCATGCTGTTCACTATCAGTTTCTCTACTAGTTTAATGTTACAATTAACTCATCTCAGACCAAAATGATTTGAGCCGCGTTGTGACAAAACCAACATAATGTGTTTGCGACCAGCATGGATCCAGACCAGCCTGCCTGATCAGGATCCATGCTGTTAGCTATCAGTTTCTCTACTTGTAATAGGGTTTGTAAGCGAACAGCATGGATCCTGATCAGACTGCACGGATGAGCAGGCTGGTCTGGATCTATGCTGGTCGCAAACGCATTATGTTGGTTTTGTCATGACGCGGCTCATTTCTTTTAAAGCAAATTTCACCTTTTCACTTTATGTTGGAAAAACAATTTTGTGTTGTTTCAAACTAAGTATTTCAGCAATTTTATCTTGGAAAAGTGCATCACATCACTACTTCTAAAAAGCATCTGGAGAGCTTACAATGTGTAAGTGACGTTCATGTCTAAGTTACAGAAGATCGGGAGCGAATTCTCCGCCTTAGCCCACTAATTTAAATATAGAGCATTTAATAGTCAGCAAATTTCATTATACACCTAACTCTTTTTCATTTGACAATGATATGGAACAATTTATCTAAAAATAACGTATTTAACCTTTAGAAAAGCTGAAGGCCGTCGCTTTAACATCATCATAAACAAAAGAATTTTTTTCAGTACATTTTTTTGTATTTTTTAACTATGTTTTAAATAGTAAAATTACTGGTCCTCATGTTACTATATTGCTTTTAATTCAAACATAAAAAATGAACAACAAAACAAACAAAAAATCAGTCAACATTTACAAGGAAAATACATAAAGATATTTGAACGCAGATGGTCATTTCCAGCTCAATACATGCTTTCAAATCTTGTATGACTATTAAATTAAGTTTTAAGTGACGAGCACTAATAATAAACATTTATTACGGGGCACAGGTGTTCTTACTCATAATGAAATTTCTCATTTTTTTCGCTATCTCCAGAAAATGCTGAACTTATTAAATTTATTTGAAATAACTTTGCTATTTCTGGATGAAACATTCCTTATGCTAAACTACCTGCATATCGTTTATTCATCACCTCAGATGGAATAACTATGAATATCTAGGCATATGTAAGTCCAAAATTTAATAAGGGTCCATCTGCCCTTTCAGGCTCTGAGAGTACGAACCCCGGTCATGTCACCAATCATGTCCTTATATTGTATTGAATATCAAGGTGAAACAAGAGATAAAATAAATGGACAATTATAGCAATAAATATGAAACTTAAGCCATTAAACTTGAGCACCTATCCTATTGGTTGTTTATGATTTGAAATTGACCAATGAGATACTTGCATCAGACTGGTACTTATTTTTTGATATGTATTTGATGTAAAAATAAAAAATACCAGAATATTCACACTGTGACAGATTTATTTTACCAATAATAACTAAGAAAGAATTAATTTTTTTTATTCAGTTTAACAAATAGTGAGGTCTCAGTATGATTTCCATAAAAATAATTGAAGAATGAAACAATAATTGTTTACTGACCACAGGTGTATGAAGTAGACTTTGGAAATAAAAAGTATTAAGTTTCAATAAATGCCATGCCCACATGACCTTGACCATAATGACCTTGACCTTCGAACAAGTGACCTTAAAAAGATAGAGTTAATGGTTAGAGTTTATCATGGTGTAAAGTTTAGAAGCTGAAGATGGAAAAACTTTAATGTTATTGGCAATGTTAAAGAATTTTGGCAAAAAGACCAATCAAAAACGATATGCCTCTTTCAAGGAGGCAAACAATTTTTCTATCACCAAAATTGGTATTTTACTTCATTCTTTACATAATATGTTACTATATTTTTAGTGTCATCTAAAGTTCATGCTCAAGGACATAAATTAATCACTGTACCTATTGCCTTTATGGAGACTTTTACACATTGCCAGAAAAGTGGCAGAACCACACCCACCTTGATACATCCTGGATAAAATTTCTATGCTTACAATTTATTAAGTTGCAACATTTTTTTTTACAATTTTGTACTATTTGTGAAATATAAATCATACACTAAGGCACCAGCTGTGATAATAACACTTCTGAAGACCTCAACCACCAGCAAACAGCTAGGTTTCACTTCAATGACCAAAACCATTTGCCCGCCTATTTTACAGATAATCTTCATATTTATCAAGTTCACAATGGATAGAGTTCCAAAGATGACACTGATTATATTGTTCATGTTCCTCTATTTAGGACTGAATTTGAATAAACCAAATAATCAATACATCACAAAATATATGTACATGTATATTTAAGATAAAGCCCTTATCCTTTTCTTTAATAAAGGTAACGGCTATATCTTTAATATGCATATATTTTGTGTATAAAGTTCATGTGAATATTTCAATAAACAAACTATTCTTCATGCTGCTGTGCAATTAAATGACTATATATACATTAATTAAAGTAAATCAAATTAATCAAATGACATATGACTTTCTACATGATTAACATAAAAATACCTAAAATGAAGCTTTGATTACAATTTCTATTAAATCTAAAGATAATTATTGCTGTCTTAAGATTTTCTATATTACATAAATTTTGTTTTTCACTTATAAAACTGCAAACATAACTAAATAAATTAAACCACAGGATCAGGTGTCCTCACGCAGTGTCGAAGTTATCTCTATGGTAACATATATAGAATTACGTCTGCATCAATTTCTAGATTCTATTACTGGTAAAAACATTTCACAGGTTATATGAAACAGTGAAAATGGTTGGTAAGCCTATATCAGTTGTTAGATTATATAACCACAGTTGCTTGGTGTAGATTATATAAACCGCAAATGACCATTAACCGTAATTACATTCAATATCTTAAATCGTACTGTCCACCTTTCCACACATTTATAATTTTGAAGGAAAATTTCAAAATATAACTAAATACTGATTGAATTGTATACATTGCAAACAATGACTGTACACAAGTGCCATCTAGTCTTTTTCCTTGCATATCAGACGGGCATTTCTGTTCGTTGTACGTTCTACACAGCTTAATGTGGCTTTTCATCTTGTTATTTCGATCTATCATGAAATAAACATCACCTGTTCGGCTCTGCCTCAGGTGTTATTTCAGTCCTTGAGTTGCTAATTATAATATGCACTTTTAACCTGAGACACATGTGTTATTTTTATCATACTAAATGGAGACAGAGAAATGAATATTCTTTTTAATTTCTCCATTCTTTAATCACAAAATCTTCACAAAAATTTTAACAATAACTGTGATATACATGGGTGCAAGTTGAAGATTTGAAAAAACCTGAAAACATTTATTCATAATCATTTTCCTACATAATCTAAAAGTAAAATGATGAAATTTGTCACAAAAAAACCTGAGCTTCAGGCATATGCCTGAAAACTTGCACCCATGTGATACCTCTTGCATCAAATTATTCTTTACATATATGAAAACAATACAAAATTGTGAGCCTTGACAAGTTTATTTTAAAGATGTTTAAGACAGTAAAAGGTTTTTAAGTTTGCATTTTTGAACACAATTAGATAAAACTTAAGATAGAATTAAAAATATTTTTGTTGATTTAACACTAAATCATAATTAAACAAACAATTGTAAGCTAATCATGCGTCTATGACAAAATAATAATTCAACAATAAGTAAGAAACAGCTAAAACAATATAACCACCAAAGATAATGAAAAACCCAATGAAAATAACAACTGCACAAACAAAAATAACATGGATTGAAAATATATTTATTCATAATTATAAACTTTCCTTAGTTATTAAAAACTAAAAAAGTAAAAAGAAAAAGAAAAAAAAAGAAAGCTATTTAATGAAAATTATTGTCTAACTTATCTATACACCAATAGTTATTTTACTCATAAACCTTAAACCACAATTCATGTTGAACAAAAATCTTCCTACTTATTTACAAAGCTGTGACTTAATACTTAAAACAAGTTTGTCATAGACATTGGCACAGCCCTCTAATAAAATATGTTGACTGATTCCCTATCTCAACCCATACAAATGTGGGAAAATTGACCTTACAAACTTGTCTACAATTTTCATTGGACGTAATATCTAAGGGAGGCAACTCAAACAGGATTTTTTTTTCAAAAGTTACCTCCCTTTGTCAGTCAGACCAGCTTAACATGATGAAAAAGTAAATCTTTTAAAAGTTAATATCTAAAATTTCAGGAAAAAGGTATTTATATAACAAATTAGAAGTTTAGTGTGTCAATATTGTGTTACAGTTCTTAAGGAGATAATTAGGTA